ATTTACATGCGTTTCTGTGGACAACGATTGTATTCACTTTGGACCCGGTGACTGCAGTGTCATTCTCTAGCCGAGACCGGGCTACGTGCTAAGTCTACTAGATAAGTCACTATCTACTCCCTTCAGAGCGCAGACCGTTTCGCTGTCTGCCCAGTTTTCTGAGTCATCGACCTAGAGTGATGCTGATGCTCAGATTTCAGTGTGCCACATCAGGGCTTTGAGGATTTACATTGACCGTTCGGCCAGCTTTCGGCAATCTGACCAGCTTTTTGTGTGCTACGGTGGTTGTATGAAGGGCAGGGCTGTGTCAAAACAGAGGCTTTCCCACTGGATTGTGGACACTATCATGGCTGCTTATACAAGCCAAAGTTTGGAATGCCCTTTTCACATTAGGGCCCACTCAACAAGGGCTCTCACCTCTTCCTGGGCATGGTAGAGAGTGCACATTAGGGCCCACTCAACAAGAGCTATCGCCTCCTCCTGGTCGTGGTCGAGAGGTATGTCTATTCAGGATATATGCTTTGCAGCCGGCTGGTCTTCTCTGAACACCTTCACTAGGTTTTACAAGCTGGACGTCTCGTCCTTTGCATCCCAAGTGCTATCGGTGAGTGACTGATTCACTTTATGCTACCCTTTATTCTAGCGAGTTAGGCTGCTTAGCACAGTTATACTCTGTGCAGCCCTCCAATGCTATTGTTGTTGCTGTATCTGCCCTGTATTCATTGAAAGATTGTATTATTTCATGCTAGATATGCAAATTTAGTATACCTGGGTTTTAGACGTTCATTGGCTTGTCTCCACCTATCAGCTGAGAGCTCGCCTGACAAATGTTGCCATTGGTTTAGGGCAGTGATCCTCAAATCTGACTCGCGAGATCCACTTTCCTGCAGAGTTTAGCTCTACCCTAATCAAACACACCTGAGTTTGCTAATCAATGTCTTCAGGATCATTAGAAAATCACAGATAGGTTTGTTTGATTATAGGGTTGGAGCTAAACTCTGCAGGAAAGTGGATCTCGCGAGCCAGATTTGAGGATCACTGGTTTAGGGAATCATAGGTGTGTTCTATCCCTGCTAATGTATAACTTATATAGGCAGCTCGTTATGGAAGCATATGTGTAGCAAAATTCAATTTGCAATGTAATATGTTTAGACTAACAGTTAGAACACTTAGGATTGCATTTTCATCACGACGCCGTTGTATATTTGTAGCAAAATTCAGTGCGGCTTTGAAAATGCATTCCGAGCTGACCACGCCCACCCTCCGTCACTCATTGCTTCAAGGCGGGGCTTACTTTGCGTTGTCGTGGGTATTTTGATAATTGGCAGGAGGGAACATGGCGAAGTCCGTTCCACAGCTTCTCCGAGAAGCTGCCCAAGCACTGGAGAGGCAAACTGCAAATGTTGGCCCTTCAGAAAATCCATCGTCTGGTCTGGATCGACCACCTCCGGATCGAAGTGGTGGGACACGGGGTAAGTTGGCAGATAAAGACCAAGGCAACAGTTTGGCCTAGGGTTGCCAACTTTCACTCGGGGTCTGGGGAGGTGGGTTGTTACTGACGATCACATTCGTTGACCATCGTCAACTTTACTGCAAAAAGTTTCTTATTCTTTTAATACAGCTAAAGGTCGCGTTGTGATCGGTATTGGTCACGTGACACGAATTCGCACATTTTCGCAGGTCAAGAGTTCACCAAACGTGAAGCAGCGAAATCGAATTCCTCGCATGATCTCCCACATTCGCATGTGTTTAAATCCTGGTTAATACAGTTGGCAGCCCTGACATTGAATTACACAGTCAATTTATTAAAATACAAACTACTAAAATATAGTGTTCATAATGTATGACCATTTTATTGCAGCAGAAGTTTTAAGATTGTTTGCACCATATTCAAATTCACGTGGCTGTGTGCCGAAACGTCCCAACACCGCTGGACCTTCAGCAAAAAAATCTAAAAGTGTTTCCTACACCCATCGTTTTTTTTGCCTGTCCAAGAGAAAGGAATGTGAGGTGCCAAGTCCATCAGTGAAAAACAAATTAGAGAGGGCAGGAATAGGAGAGAAGAGGATTACCATTCCAGGTAATTTTTTTTTCTCTACCCCCCAGATAAAAGGGTTTGCTTAAATCATGCTTACATTAATGTATTATCCACCTGAAATCATAATTTAACTTGCATTTTTATTTTATCTTTGCTTTAGACAAATACTGCACTCCTCAGGAGTTTTCAGACCATCTCTTTCAGCATTTCCCCTGCTGAACTGTGCGAGTTGCTGAAGTTTTGGACTGGCTGGGCTGTTCTCCCTCAACACCTGTATGTCGAAGTATCACCTGACCTATCACTCCCAGTGGCTTCAACCTGCCTCACAACACTGAAACTTTCTTTAAGATGCAGAACCTTTCTTGCATTTACAGAAGCAATGAGAGCCGCCGTTTCATCCACAAGGTTTGAGTTGTCTTCAGTATTTTTCACATTTCTTGCTTTTATAAAAATGCATGTTCTTGACAGAAAGTTTTAAAGAGCTCTCATTGCAGTGGTGGAAATTCTAATGAGTTAAGTTAACCTTGAGTTAAGTGAAGAATAAATTACTTACAAATGTTAAAGAAAACTACTTGTTTCTCTCACTTTTTTATTGTCATACATTTTGTCATGCATGTTCTTAGGAAATTTTGTAGTTCAGGCATTTGTCGAAATAAACTCGCCAAAGGAAAAGCGGTTTGTGATGTCCATGCATGTTCAATGTCTAAAAATCTCTGTCAGTTGGGCTACTGTGCTCATGTAGGCATCGATTGCCTCATTTATTGGCATTTCCCGGTTCGGAAGACCTGCCAACTCCTCTGCAGTGAGATGTCATGGTAACGCTACATCTGGGATTGAAATGCTGCCTGCATCTTCCATGGCATGTGGTCCATCCCAGTCAACACCATAGTCATCATCAACCTTGCAAAATACCAGGACAGATGCTTTTAAATTATACATCTACCAAAACATCCAGTAAATGTTACAAGCATTTGTCACAAAGGCATATAATTTTTGTTCTGATGCAGGTACGAGTGAGTGTTGTTAAATTACATTAATGTATGTGTTAAACATTAGGATATTTCAAAGAATGTTGGTAACCAAACAGTTCTGGGGCACCACTGGCTTCCATAACATTTGTTTCCATACAAGTCAGTGGTGCCCCAGAACTTTTTGATTACAAACATTCTTCAACATATATTCCTTTGTTTAGTAGAACAAAGAAATAACTTGAGAGTGAGTAAATGATGAAAGACTAATGTGTTTGATTGGGGTTGGAGCTGAAACTTTCAGGGTGGTAGCCCTCCAGAAGCAGGGCTGGTGATCCCTGGCATAGTGGCTATGCAGGTCTGCCATAGGTCCAACACATAAGTATAAACAAGCCTGCAAGTATGTAACAAAAACAAACTTACACTGAATCAAATGCCTACTTGCTTGGAGAAAAGCTCTCATCATACGGTATCCACACCGTGGGTGTTCCCTTTGAATTTCCAACACCAAACGATCCAGGTCTGTATCGTTAATGCCAGAGTACAACTCTGATACTCTGGAACAGGTGGATAATTGTGTGATAAGTGGCATTAGATGCATCAGATATTTGTGAGATGAACAGAATTATGTAAAGACCTAAACATGCCTTTGTGAAGTTTCTTATTTATTCAAGTCATATCTGAATGTCGTAGTTCAATTTCTATCAGATTATTAAAGTCAGCTGTATGCGTTTCTCTGATGCTTCAAAAAAAGAGGGCATTCATAATGTTAAGAGAGTCGGGACTTGTAATCAGAAGGTCACCCATTGGAGGTAAACAGAAATTATGGCCTTCAGGCGTTTA